CTGAGGTGCATGTGTCCCAGGAGAAGTGGTTCAGATGCAGCCCTTCCTCAGTTCTTTATTAACATAAGCTCAATGCCACAGGAGTGGTATGGTTATACCAGTATATAACACACTGGAAAGGTTTATTTGTAAGTACTGACACTAACAATAAGGTCATTCTTCTGTCACCTGATGATAAGCTTTCTTCCTTTCCAGTGCGGTCACATGGGATCTCTCTGTAGTCCTGTCAGCACACATATAATTAAAGCGGTCTGCTGTCAAGGAATTGAAAACAGAACTTGTGCGTTGAATGTAAATATTTTCTGTACCTTATGGAACAGAGAAATGAACAAAGATCAAATGACCTAATTGCAAAGAAGTCTCTGATGCAGGTTTTACGAGCAAACCTGTGGCCTAGGAAGACTGGTGCAAGGTCAGTCTGCTCCTGCAGTGTTCTCCTCCTGGGCTCAAAAAAGGGGCTTTTTGCATGTGGAACTCACAGTCCCTGTGCAACAAACCCACTCCTGAACAATGCTGCTGTTACATGCAGCTCTGAGTAAAAGGAAAAACTGTATTTTCCACAACCCTCTCACAATCCTTTTGTATTTCAGTGACCAACTTGGAATACAGTAGATCTGATTTGCACCATGTTTGCACCGTATTGTTGTACTGTAACAACTCTGGTGTAAAACCATAACAACACTCCTATGAAGTGGTCCCTCACAAGGGGAGTGGGATCTGGAGTAAAACTCCTTGTGTATTAACTCATGTGATAAACTTCTCCCACACAGAGCAGGACACTCCATCCTTTCCCACTGCTTGTCCCATTTCCATGTCTCTTACTTCCAAGGGTCGCAGTGTCCCTGTGCCCCGCTGCCTTCCTGAAAGCCACAGTGGAAGCAGGAGTGTTAAGGGGCAGAGCTGGGGCCATGGCACAAGCAGATGTGTGGAAGGAGAGGAAAGCTGCCACAGCAGCAGTCTCTGAACTTGACTGCCTGCGTTTCCCAAATCCAGCTGATAAAAGCCAGTGTATATTCCCATGTGTAATAGCTACGTTATCTGAGGGTACAGGCTATCTGAGGACTTGCTTTCACAGACAAGTAATTTTATCCGGGGTGATATGAGGTTCAGGTTTCACACATGAAAACAATAATGCTGTGATTTGTTTGTTATACCTTGATAACTTGTGCCTTCATGGCTCTCTTGTGTCAGGCAAAATCCCTGTGTCCACACAGTGCAAGTGTAGAACTTGGTGTTTCTTTGGCATCCTCCAAATGCTGCCTCAGTAGTGAAAAGGCCTGTTACTCACTCCATGCACTGACATCACTGTACTTGTTGCTATATTCTGCACCACTATCTTCACTTCCAGAGGGAAACCACTGGATGGGAGAGACCTGGGTCCCATCCCCAGGAGTAAACATAATGTCTAACCTGAGCGTTTTACCTGGGAGGAAGGATGGATAGAGCAGACCTCTCAGAGCTGCTCACTCTGGGTGGGAAAGTCAGGTAAATTTGCACACATTGATCTTGCAGATCTGCTATGACTGCTCATCTGGCCACTTGCTGTGGATCCCCCAATAGCCTAGAAGAGAGCTACTGCACTTGCACTGGGCAAGCTTTTTCCCTCCATGCTCTTATTCTGCATTGCTGGATGTCTCCATCTGGGGGATGGTTTTAGACTTCACACTTGCAAGAAACTTTTGTTAAGACATGTGGCTGCTTTGTCCATGTCATCACATAGTGAACCTCTTGTTGAATGCAACTAGAGCCGTGCACTTCAATACACAGCTAGAAAGCCAGTCATCACCTTCCTCTCCAAAGCAAAGTCCTCCAGAGAGGCAACTCCTGCAGGTAACTGACATTACAAAGAAACAATTGCAAACATTACCTTCTAAATGACATTCTTATACCAACTAAAAGTACCAATTAGTTTCCTGTAAACTGGCCTTAAGAAACAGCTGTCTGATAAACCATTCAGCAGACATTTTTTCTTTTTCCTAAACCTGGTATCTCTGAGGATGAATGAGTCAAATTCTTACTGTAACAGTTAATCCTCAGCAATGTCTCTTCCTGCTAATCCTCTCTCTGAAACCGTTCTGGGGCTGGTACATATTACCAGGTAGAAACAAGTCTGCTTATATTCCAGATATACACTTGCTGTTTGTACATTCATTAAACTTCCACTTATTCCACAAGGATTTCTGCAGCTACTAATATTCTCAAACTGGTCAAAAGCAATCAGCTGAACATGAAATCACAGGTTTTGGCTGTAATCATCACTTCAGGTTCTTGCTGTTGCATTCTACGGAGACAGACATGCCTGAAATGAAAAAGTGAACATATTGAGTGAAAATGGAAAATTATATTACTTTTAACAAAAGGATACATTTATTAAAAAACATGTTTTCTACAAGGAAACAGCATCTACCTGGTATTTCTCATGGTTATTTCTTCCTGTTGAGAATAGTTTTTCTTTCCTGGCATTATTATCTATCATGCAATAAGGATAATAGATGAACCCTGACATAATTCAGGAATCAGATTTGATCAGGGTGATCTAATGACATAAACTGAAAGAACAGCCTCTTGAGGGATTGTGACTTCAAGCCTGAAGTGGGATAGAGTGGCTTTATTTTGCTCATATAATGCCATCCCCTGCCACCAGTATAAAACATTACGAAGTTCTTTCGCACATCATCTTGTGTTTACCTTAAAATTCCATCTGATACTGTAACAGTGCTGCATCTGAGATGAAATGACAGTTCTGAGGTCTTCCAGGATGTCTGGTCCTCTCTGCACTTTCTCAGGAGTCACCCTGAACTCTCACACTCACACACACACAAACATTTTCACACCCAATCTTGAGAAAAATGCTGATTTTGGCACAGAACTGGAATGGAAATGGATTGTTCATGTGGTTCCTTGTGAATTTATAAGTGTGGTTATGTACTGTAAGTTTCTAGAGGAACAAGTACCTGCCATTTTAGTGCATAAGCAGCAGGCAAGGTGGTCTTATTCCGCAGCCCTAGCAAAAATTGCCCAGAAGGAGCTGTGGAATGATACTGGTATCAGTTTTGCTCTGCTCCTGACTAAAATAAGGACAGAGTCTGATTTGTCTGGCACACTGCACCTTTGGTGCATGAGCTCTGCAGGAGTGAGCTCCTGTGCATTACGTGCACTCACACCAGCACAGACTCGCTAGGACAAGATTCAGTTTAAAATTCATTTGTTAGCTCAAGCTTTGCAGAGGGGAGATGTTTTCATTTTATTGTCTGTGTACAAACTTGAGGACAAAATGTTCCCAGTGTTATACACAGACTTCAAGGCTAAAATGGTAAAAAGTACATCTAAATACAAAAAAGGCTGAAAAAACAGCCCCTCTCCACTGGTTTGTTTGGGCTTCTTGTCCTCGCTGTTTAGAACTATCAGTAAAGAGGCAGAGGTGCAGCCCCAAAAGCCACTATTTAAAACAATAACTGTGGTCACATCAGTCTCACCAGAAAAGCTGATGGAGAAGCATTAATAACAAAACTATCCTTTCTGAATATCAGCAGTCAGCATAGCTGTAGAAGGGGTTGGGATGACAATACACTGGATTTATAACATTTTACACCTCTTAGCTAAAGACATCCCAGAGCTGTCTATCTCCTGAAAGCTGCTTGGTTTTCCCACAAGTCCAGCTCCAGGTTATCATTTACAGCCTTGGCCAGTGTTGTCTGGGTGAGCTGTGCACTGTTCTGTGTTCACTTGTGCGCTCCTGACTTCACCCTTGACAATCAGTTCAAACTGTATATTCAGTATTGGCTATCAGTGAGCAAAGCATCAGATACAGCTTGCTATTGCCCCATTATACAGTGTGCTCCCCGCAAGAAGTTGACATGAAGGCATAGCTGTCTGATCCTCAGCAGAGATTCCCATCCTTTGCTGCTAAGTGCAATAAAACCCTTGCTGTCAAAGCTCAACCTGGGTAATGCAGAGATGAGTACAGTAATGATATGTCCATCTTTGTTGGTGCTCTGCACCATCTTGTGGCTAGCAGAAAAACACCAGAATAACCTCTGAAATCCTTCATTTGATGTTATTTGCGTGTGTGTGGGGGGGTGTTTCCTAATGAAAAATACAGATTGTCAGTGTACACAGAAAAAAATCAGTGCCCTTTTAACAGCTGATGTGGATGTCTGCAGGCTGGCTTAGGAACCAGCAAAAGGGAAGAGCATCATTACAGATAAGTAGGTTATGTGCAGGTCCTGTGTCATACATAAATTAGCTGTCTGTAGAAGTCTCGCTTGCATTTCCATGTATTTGGAATAAATCAGATATTCTAGGTCTTAAGTATGGAAATAATTTCTGTTATTCCAAGAGATGTTTTTATTAATTATTGAAGGTTTCCCATATTCTCCTGTAATTCCTTTGCCTTTTTCAACTAAATCTTTTTAAACAAAATTACAGGTTTCATCATCATTGTTATTAACATTGTCTTCGTTTGAAAAGTTGTCTTCCCTATCTGCAGCCCTCAGCTTCCCATGAACAGACTCAACATTACATTGTACAGAGCAAAGGTTATTCCAGTGAAGCTTATTTACAGTAAACACAGCCTTCTTCTTCCACAGGAACATACTTTCTCCCATCCTCCAAATCATAATAGATGTCTGACCCAGACTGTGTTTTTCAAAGGAGTAGAAGGGCATCAGCTATCTTTGAATTTCAGTATGACAAGAATCAGACTCTCCTGTGCTGGCAATGGAAATGGAAAATTTCTGCTGACATACATAACATCAAAGCCAAGAGAGCCAGTGATGAGAATCCCCTTATTGTCAAACCTGTGTTTGGCATGAGGAGGGAGATGGGACAACAATTGGTGTGATCCAGGATTGCAATTTCTTATGCTTCTTTTCCTGCTCTCCATGGTGAATGGGGACTTTCCAACAGGCATGGCTTCCATTCCCCCACAGCTGTGCAGGGCAAACTGAGTGAACACATGAGATTACAATGCTCCTCACAAACCTCCCTCTTTTAAACAGAAAAAATGGCCCCACAGGTGGGGTCCACAACCCCTGCTGCTTCGCTGCAGGAGGATGAAGAACAAGTCAGCAGACGCATGATGGCCAAGAGGGTGAAAATCATCACAGAACTCATGCAGACAGAGAAGGACTATATCAGCGACCTGGATCTCTGCATCAAGGAAGTGATTCAGCCCCTGAGAAACAAGCAGGTGAGCTGGGGGCGGTGGATGAGTTAGTGATGTCAAGGTCTGAACTCACTCACATTCTGCTGGCAGATAATGTTAATGCAGGCACAAGTGTCAGCGTGAGAGTGACGTGGTACTGGGAGCTGTCCGGTGGTAGCTTTCCAGAAAGGGACATGCCAGGGCTCTAGCTGGGAATTCATAGAACCTTTTCCTCAGCGGTATTTACAGCTGTAGATAAACTGTGCAGCTGAAAGCTGGGAATAGAACAGGCTGTCCAGAGAAAGATTTGTGGGGCCTGCCAAATAGCATTCACTGAGGCTGCACAAATTATATCTGCTGCTGATATAGAATAAAAATTATTTTAAACATACCTTAAACCAAGTATTCTTTATGTAGGGTTTCTTACAAGATTGGTGATAAAATATAGGTATAGAGACCAAAGTGTCTTTAGATGACATTGGCACTGTCTCTTCAGGGAATGCTGGGGCCAGCAGAAGCCTGTGCTGTTTAAGCTCCTGCAAGACCTTTTATCTTTCTTGAAACTCTGTCAGAGTTTGTTCCAACCCATTTTCAGAAGAGCTGACATCTGCTGACATAACTTTAAAGAGTTCTTGACTTTTTTCTGCTTACTTGTTCACCCACTTAGAAGTAGTCACATCTTGACTCCCGCCCCAGCCTCGCCAGCACCAAACCAGAGTGTTCCCTGTTGAACTTGCTGTATTCCTTTGCACTTTTCCAGCCAACTGAAAATGTATATTTCAAATCTGTCCTTTGTCACTGTATTAACATGTGGAAGTGTCCATGCACAGCATAGTTCCAAATACTATGTAGGCAGTGTGCTGGAGTGGAGGTCAGAAGTCCTGTGTTAGATATATACAGGAAAAGTAATTTAGAGATTATAACAGTCTTAATTTAATAACCTCTGCATTTTTTAAGACTGTTGTATGGTTTTAAGGCTAGTTCTCAGATAAACTACCATATTGAAAGTTTGTAATGTATTTAGAGAAGGATTGCATTTAGAAAATTGACCTAGCAATGAATCTGTTTCATATTTCCAAGTGGATAAAACCTATCTTCGCCCTTATAATACTATAAAGAAATTAACTGCATTAGTAGTGAAAGTCTATTTCTGATTCTGTTACAATGGCATGCAATTTGATCCTCCTGGCATCTGGTAAGCTGCTATGTAAGTCAGCAATTCAGTTTCTAATGGAGAGATACATTCAAAGGCTATCAGTATAGATGGAAATCAGTCTTGCCTTTGTTCTCAGTATTAGCACATTACCACTGGCTATCTCCAGTTGTCTCTGAATATTAACTATTGCCCGGCCCTGCAAGATAATAACTGCTGCATGAAAAATATGTGGCCTGGAAATTTTTTACTTGCTCTAAAATGAGTAGGGACATGGAACCCAGTTTTCTACTGGAGTAAATTGACGCAGTTCACTGAAGTCAGTGTTGTGTGCCCAAGCTCTGTAGGAAGCTCTTTAGGTTATACTAATAGTCAGAATTATAAATGAGTTTTTTTAGGGGAAGTTATATGATCTTGATTGTATTTTTGGGTTTGTAGAACAACTAACTTAAAATGGTACCACCATCTGGAAGTCTTTGTACCTGGTAGCTGGCACCAAAGCGCCACCGTCTGAGTTTATGTAGTGGCCTCTATTAGCAACTGGGAATCAAACCCATTGTCAACTATTCTGTTCCTCAGTGGGAAAGTAAACAAATATTTGAAAGCCAGCTAAGGATCTTTTCTGTATTCAGGTGATAATATTTATTTCCTTCCTAGGTAAACACTTTCAGATTAAGAATAGTTCAAAATAAGGTTAAAAGCACTCGATAACATGCCCTTTGTTAACTGCATCAACTATATTATACTAATCTGAAAACTGTGTATGTGTTCTTGAAGTCACAGGGAGGATGTTTATATGAGGTTTTGCAGAAGCGGTGCTTCCTGGAGTATTAAGCATTGAGGGCATAGCAAGATTAAGTCTGTAATACACAACATCCTTCTTTATCCTTCATCAGTAGCTGCTTAATATTTGTATTCCACTAGATTGCTCGCTTTGACGTGGATGGCTTGTTTAGCAACATTGAATTGGTCCATCAAGTATCAGCCAAACTGCTGTCATTGTTGGAAGAAGCCACGACAGATGTGGAACCACCCATGCAAATAATCGGTATGTTTACTGTCCTCTTGAGTTCTACAAAGCTATGTGAAAGAATAAACATAACACTCTCCTGTCCTCTGCCCTCATCAGACTTAACTAGTACCACTCCCAGAGGCTAACATGCTATAAGATATCCAGAGTGACATAGGAAAAATGACATGTGAAACCTGTCCAGTTGTTCTATGATACTCCTATGATCATGATGCCCTTTTTTCATTCATCTAGATGTTGAGGAGGAGAGAATGAGTTTACCATGAGTGAAAACCTGCATCACTGATTTATGCCACCTACTGATAATGTAATAGAACCACAGAATCATAGAATGGTTTTCATTGGAAGGGACCTTAAAGTTTGTGTAATTCCAACTCCCCCTGCAATGGGCAGGGACACCTTATACTAGAACAGGTTGCTCAAAGGCCCATCTAATCTTGCTTTGAACACTTCCAGGGATGGAGCAGCCACAACTTCTCTGGGGAACCTGTTCCAGTGCCTCACCACCCTCACTGTAATGCATTTTGTCCTGATGTCTAATCTAAATCTCCCCTCTTTCAGTTTAAAGGCATTCTCCCTTGTTGTATCACTCCATGTCCTTGTAAAAAGTCCCTCTCCAGCTTTCTTGTAGCCCCCTTTAGATTCTCGAAGGCTGCTCTAGGGTTTTCATAGAGCCTTCTCTTCTGCAAGCTGAACAAGCATCCAACTCTCTCAGCCTGTCTCCATAGGAGAGGTGCCTCAGCTCTCTGATTATCATTGTGGTCTCCTCTAAACTTGCTCTTTCATCCAGGAAGGTCCACATCCTTCTTATGTTGGGGCCCCAGAGCTGAACACACTATCCTTCTCATCTAGTTTGATACTGTCTAGTTAACTCTACTCACACTTAACACTGACTCTTAAATTGCATACTTGTAATTGTACTAGTCAAGAAAAGCATTAAAAATTATTTTGAGTAATAAATATGTCACAACCCCACCCCAAATGTTGTAAATATTGTAAACATGCATCTACTGGCAGTACAATTTGTGTAAGATACGGTTAAATGTGCTTAACAGGGACATAGTCAGTAAAGGCAAGAAAGCTATATGATAGGGTGTTTGTGGGAATCTGGGCAGGAATATCTGCAGGAATTGTGGGTATTTAAAGCATGACAGCCATACATTCTGCAGGCCAGGCCATGAATGTTAAGGCTGTGATCTGTTCACTTGACATTCTGGCACAGCTGGAGAGATTTAAGAAGTTACCACTCATGAGCTCCCCCATAACTACTTCTTCAGTGCAGAGGCAGTAGGTGATCCACCTTAAGGGGTCAAGTGCGAATTCTTAGATTGCTTCAGTGCAAAGTCATCCAGTCTAGCTTAAAAAACTTCCAGCCATGATTAAGATGTCAGAGAGATTCTTTCTTCCCTAAACTGACCACATACAACAGGCAACATATTATAGAAAGGCCCCCTATTCTTGCAAATAATGGGGTAAAAAATTATTGGTTGCCATTTGACTAAGAAACATGGTATTAAAGCATATGAGTCTTGGGAAAAATATTAATCCTAGCACGTCTCAATCTGGTTTGCCAAGGCAACAGCTTAACGTAGTTTGATGCCACTGTGTTGTTTGGCGGTATTTCAGTAAAAGTGCATCATGATGAGTCATACCCTTAATAAGCAATGTTCTATTCTAGCAGGAAGTGCCTTTCTCTCAGCCAAGAGAATCATCCTTTTAGCTCCCTGCCACATCCAGAAGTAAAGACAACACTTTCATCCATCTATTGGGCTGTATTTCTCCAGAATCAGACAAAGAACTGTAAAAATGTATGGGATAATGGATCACAGAGTTGTCTAACTTACGGCAGGGAAAAAGATGGCAAGTAAGGTGTGAGACGTTCTTCCAAAAGCCGAGACAAAAGCAGGAAGAATAATTGCATCACTATTAGCAATAAGTTACTAAGTTTCTCATCCTCTAAAAGTACATCAAGGTGATAATTTTGTTCTCAGGATTTTCATAATCAGTGTAAAAGTTGTTAAAGCCAGTCTATAGCAAAAGTAGGCTGAGAATGTTTAACACATCCATCATATTCTATCATGTTTATGTCATTTAAACAACTTGCATTGAAATATCTTAACTTTGGAAGGCAATCCTGTCATGATGAGGTTGAAGAGAGCTGCTAATTCACTGGTTTGAAATTAAAACAATGGGGTTGCTCATATTCCCATCTTATTTTAGTCTGTGTTCTCCATACCTTATGCTATGTCCACATTGATGAGTAGTAATCTCCAATAGGAGCAGACTTGTAGAGTGAAACAGTTGCTGCTGAGGACCTGATATCCATACTACCTGTTTCAAGAGGTTGTACTTTAGATTGCCTGTAGCCTGTTTCTGTGGCTTGAGAGATGCCCTTTATAATTGGACTGCATAAGATGTGCCCTTGGAGTGCACATCTCTTATGGTAATTACCATCCTCAAAGGGATCCAGTTTGTGTGTCTGTGACTGCTCTGCTGCATGGCCAAGGATGGGAGATCAGGGGTCCTGAGAAACTGGCTTCAAAAGCCCTCTCCTAATCTGAGCTAAAATGCTAATGTAGACGGACCTTTTGAGGTGCTTGGTCTTCTGATGCTAAACACTGTTGAGTTAAAAGCCCTTTCTGGTTCTCTCCTATATTTTTTTCTCCTCTCTGGTCTGGATACTGTGTATGGAGGAGTATGAAGACTTAGTAACTTTACCCTGACTTTAGCTAGTAGACCCCTTCTTCCTCCACCTCCCTATGCTGTCCTCATAGCACCACTGAAAGCCACAGGGAGAAACTGTTTCTGTCACTCAAACCTTCCTCCTAGGATTTTCTCTTTGAGACTAATGATCACCACACTTAAGATGAGGCATCAGGCAGATCTACATCTGTCATAGTCTGCAAAAAACTATTTTAAAGCTGTGCCCAAATACAATATGGTTTTAGTCCATAAAGCAAGTTTCCACAGTGATGTGCCCAAAGCTCATCGGATTTGGTCCACATGGCTCAGAACCAGGAAGAGCTTTAGGCTTAAGAAATCTGTCTGCTCTTAAAAATCCCTATCCGTGAAATCAGCACATTATTTTTCTCATCATTGAGCATCAATGAAAATATCTGTCATTGTGGCACAATACATCACTGAAAGATCTTGCTCATTCCTTTCCTTGTGGAGAACAGAATGAATTTCTAGCCTCTAGTATATACTGAAATGAGCTCTAAGTCTACAGTTTTTATTTTTGATACTGAAAACATAACCTCACTTCATGGCTAGGCATAGTACGGGCTGTGCTAAGCACTTGGAGCTCTGCATAAAGTTAGTGAAAAATGTTGAGAGCTCAGCATCTCTGAGAATCAGGCACCAAGGGAGCAGGATCAAGAGAAAGCTTGTTAAGGTTTCCCCTTTTGCTATAACATTGCCTGTATAGAGAGTTCATGGGAAAGTCAGGATGCAATGTACGTTGGTATCCATGAGCATTAGCATTATGCACAAGACAGAGAAGACAGACAGCTAAAGAGCAATTAACTATAGGATGCTCGTGCTTTTCTGACTGTGGCAGTACAGTAACTAAAATGAACTCGTGTGGTTTTAGCTCCAACATTGTTCCCTTATTCGCACCTTGAAACCAACATGTATTAGACAGCCCAGTTAACCTTTGCTGGTAGGGGAAAAACCCAGAGCTGTGTTACTGTGGTAACTGAAACATTTTTCACTTTAAGAAGGAGCAGTTCAATGCAATGTGTTATGAAACAGCCCACTCTGGTCAGGATGAAACATGCAGGATGCCTGACAGCTTGGTGCTTACTCTGTAAATGAATAGAGAGCTCCCAATTAATGTGATGTTTGGCTTTTAACTTTAATAATAATCGCTGTAACTCAACATGAATGTTCATAAAACATTGGACAGGTTGCCACATAGACGTAATTTTCAGTAAATGTCCAAGACAGGAGTTCTCACCGTTGCTGTTGTTTCTTATATGCATTTGTGAGGATGCTGATCAGGGCACTGCTACATAAGGGTGTTAGAACTGAATGAATATCTCAGCAGAAGAGATGAAGCATAATATCTCTTACATACACAGGAACTGACACAGGGGTTTTAGGCTGAAGAGAATGAGGCACCAGAATTCAATGGGAAATGGGTGCAGGACTACTTTAGTGCCTCTAAAATTCCCAACTGTTCTTTGGGGGAAATGGTGGTGTGGAGGACTGGAAATGGAAATGGTTTCCTCCTTCAGTTATATATAACCTTAGACACTATATAAAAATGGCTGTAATCCACGGTTGTTTTATTCAATTAGGGGAGGGGTGAAGGTTGTTCCTCTGCCATGTGAAGAAAAAAATCTCTATTCTGGGCCATAGCAATTGCCATTTAAGGATTTTGCAAAACAGATAAAAGTGGAATGGCTAATGGGAGATAGAGTCATTATTCCTGTTATAACCCATTTAAGTTCATATTCAGTTGAAGAAAAAAAAAAAGTCAAAAGGAAAATTAACAGGCTGACATTCATCTCCCCTGCCAGCCCATGACACAAAAATGATCTCTCCTTAGCAGTCAAGCTCTTCTGTGTGGTTTCCACTGAAGGGGCAATAAGCTGGGGCAGTGAATTAGGGGGCTGTGTACAAAGGGTGCAAGGTATAGAGATTTCATGTCTTTTCCTGAGGGAATTTTTCTGCATTAACACTGATATAATGGTGCCTGGCTATGACAAAGATGAGCAGCTGAGAAATACATGTAATAAATAATGCACATAAACACACAAGATCATTTCTAAGGGAAGTGGAAGCCAGCCTTTTTAGCTCACGGCTAATGTGGTGGAATAATAAAACTCCCTCTAAGATGCTGTTGTCTGGCTTGACATGCTTTGTTTTCCTCCTTAACAGGGGAAGTGTTCTTGCAGATTAAAGGCCCACTAGAAGACACATATAAAATCTACTGCTATCGCCATGATGATGCACACACCATGCTGGAATCCTATGAAAAGGATGAAGAACTGAAGCAGTATTTGAGAGACTGTGTACAGTCCTTAAAGTAAGATCTTTTCAAATGATGATTTCCATCCATAGTCAGTTGCCTGGCAGGGAACATTTTAAATGGATGTAGATGAAAGGTCCCCTGTAAATCCGGAGTTTTATGAGGCTTGCTGGGAGCTCTGGCTTACGCTGCTTTCATGAAAAGATGACAAGCCAGGGGCCATGATTAGATTTCTTTTTCTCTAAGACGGCCAAAAATAGCTCAAGAAAGGCTGCTCTTCCCTTAGCTTCAGTGCCCCATACTGGCAAAAGAAATGCTGCATCATATCATGGGCTATTTGTAACACCTTGCCCAGCTGCCAGGAAACTTGCTGCCTCTGTCTTCAGCAATTCTATTCCTTGAATTTAAGTACCCTGTAATGGAGCTATTCACAAGCAGTGGTATATCTGGGTCCCTGTGGCAAGGCCCAAGGGATCTGGAGCAGCTGTGTGGTGCTGGACCCTTCATGATGGGGGTATTTGAGAGTGATCAGTATTTGACCAAGCTTCCAGGTCCCGCCAGTGGAAAGCACTTTGTGCCACCATCTTCAGTGCCAGCCCCTTGGGGAAATGTGTCAAGAAGTGGGGATATTGCAGAATAACAGATCCATCCTCCTCCTGCAGCCAGCCACAGGAACCAGCTCATCCTCTCCATGGAGGGTGCTTCTCTTCCCACCCATAAATCTCCTTGCCCCCTCACTTTCCCAAGCTGTCAGGAGGGAATGTGCCATGGTCTTTCAGATCAGAGGTCTAATTCCAGCCCCAGGAAAGTGTGCTTATAGGAGAGATGTAACACTACCACAAATAATAGAGTGTTCATCAGCAATAGATACTTCAATCACACCCCAGTTAGTGGTCGGTCTGCAGAGATGTGTAAGGACCTAGGAGATGGGAAGTACGGCAAAGTGAAATCTAGGAAGAGTGATAAAGTATTAACAACATTAAAAAAGAAATGTACACTTTGAAGACAGGTTATATTGAAAATAAGGCTTATTCTGTGCAATATGTCCAGTTATTAATTACGTAATAAAGTGTATGTGCAGAGTACTTAGGTTTTAGCTACCCTGGAAGTTGAAGGAAATGGATTTTCATACAAACTCAGGCTTTCACCCTAATGGATGGTCAGATATCTCCCCTAAAGGGGTGTTTTACTTGCTGATGCTTACAGTATTCTTTTCTGGCTAATCAAGAGAAACTGCTACTGTCATTCATTCATTCCTGCTGCTGAGGCAAGGGGACATGGAAAGAAATAAAGGTAAAAGATAGCATCCCCCTACATCCTAAGGTGGATGGTGCTACCTGAATTCCAGAGCCGGCAAGAAGAGCTCCTGTTCCAGTATCACAGCTGGGATTTGTGAAGAGAAAGGATATTTTGTGCTGAGCCATTATAGCCTTTGCTAGCAGGAAGTGCAAAGCCTTCTTTTCACAATGAAGCCTTGTTTTGTTTTGTTCTTTCGTGATTAGCCTTTGAACAGGAACTAATGAAAAAAGCACTGGTGTGTGCATACTACGTTGTGTTTTTTTCCTGGTGCCTAGAGATTGCATTGGAAGACTTGAAAGTGCATACTCAAATGCAGAGCTGTGGTCATCTAAACCTTTACTACAGATTGGAGAATTCTTGCCCTGGGAAGAAAGCTATGCAACATTTTTACCAAAGAAGTTGTAGGCTGTTTTCCACTGTGAGACACAATATATGCAGGGGCTGGTGACAGCTATTCTTGAGCAATGTTTACTTAAACATTTCTTTTGTTCCTTGGAAAGAATATTGTTCCATTTAAAAAAAAAAAATATAATTCAAATGGGCTAACGTCAGCAGGAGCTTCTGTTTCTGAGATGAGTAATATCTGCCATGTGAAAAACAACTTCTATATCGGGAGCAATTTGAGAGTGGATCTCTGCACATCTGTACAGACAAATCAGATTCAATTAGCCATGCTGCGATGCCTATTCTTCCTGTTGACTGAAGAGGAGAAATTCCATCCCAAACTGTAGGTGTCTGCCTTGGAGTCATGTGCAAATCCCAATTCTGTGGAGTCTTGTGTTTCAGCAGCGATTATGCAAACTGGGGATGTTGTTTGCTAGCTTAGCCAAAGAAATGCAGCTGGTAAAAATGAAAGGATGCTGGCAACTACCTGCTCTGCTTTCAGCCTGAAGTAGCTTGGTCAACTATTACAGGAGCAGAGGGATGTCATAAGCATGCAAAGGGCTGACAGTGCAGAATCAATGAAAGCACCAGCTTCCAGATGCTCAGTTAGGCACCGGTGGACAAGGAGATAAGAGTGCAGGCAATAAGAAGGCAGTGACTGACAATGTGATACCAAGTAAGCCTAAGGCACAGATGGAGTGACATTTTGGTTCCCCCACATTTGAGCATATTCATGCAATAAGCAAAATATTCTATATGCGTGCTTGCATGTTTCCAAACATTGCTTCTTCCAGCATATGTATCAGCACCATCCTACTCTGAAGAGGTTTCAGCCTACAAAATACTTAACAGATTAATTGAGTCTATATCCCAAAAGTCTGAAATGTATTCTTTGACATTTAAAAATACATTTCTATTTTAAGAGAGTAGATAGGAATGTATGTAAAGTGTAAGAATTACTGTTTAATTTTACTATTTTATATTAAGGACTTGATGTTACTTACCTCTGGCACAGTGACCCAAACTTCCTACCAGTGTTAGGACAAGGCTGGGTCTTACAGCCAAAGCCAGGTTTCTGACAATCCTTTCTTATTTGGGGCTGTCCTTTCAAAAAGATATAGGGCCAGATTCACCAGTACCCTCTGGCTGTTTTGTGCAGCTCTGCTGACACACAGCAGCCATAAACCTGAGTTAATCGGGCCAGTTACAGCTGCTCTGTGTCACTGAAGTGTATCTGAGAATCTGGCCCCTGATCAGTACAAATCCTTTTGGGAGGAATCTAATATATGTTTTGTTTTCTTCTTTTTTGCAGAAAGATATATGAGGAAGAGTAAGTACCATGCCTTTTTTACATGTAAAATAATCTTTAAAATATTGTTAATTTATCTTCAATATGCTTAAAACTGTGCATGTAGAAATTTTAAGAAGACAAGCCTTTTGTATCAGTATAAACCATAGATTTTTCCGGGACAGATGTGGTAAAGAATCTCAGTTTTAATTTCCCTAAGCCTGTCTAGTTTTCTAATTACTACTACACTAACTTGCAGTATCTTTGAAAACTTGTGGTTTATGAAGCTACTTAATTTGGTTGCCCTTTCTTACCACCTTGATGTCTTATCCATGTGCTCAGAGAGCTCTGAGGTCCACAAGAGCGCTTGTCAAAACATACTATTTGTCTTTGAAATCCAAACACTCTGAAACCATTTTGCATAGGCCTCTGTAGACCTGCTGCAATACACATTAGGTTCACAGGTAAAGCTATTTCTAAGACGATGACCTCTTTGGTAGCCCTATATGAGATGTCCACCATAAGGTCTTCCCACTGACAGTGGCTGGAAAAGCATCAGAAAAGGAACCAGCTTATTGCAGCACTTTGCCAGAATACTCACCCAGCCACCAATAACTTGTGGTTAAGAAACTTCTGTGCCAAATGCAACGTCTTTGAAAAGCTGTAGAGTTTATCACAGCTACAGTTTCTGGATATCCAGCAGGTTGGGATCATTGAAATGCAGCGTCTCCTGAAATTACCTGCAGGGAGAGGTCAGAGGAGGGGTTAGCTGAACTGAAGAAGATGATTGCAATTCCAGATAGAAATGTTAAAAGAGAAAAGAGGAGCAAGTGTGCTCTGTATTGGTAGAGGAGGAACATCTGTCAAGTCAGTAAATTTGTTAGTCAATCACACATAATAAATAACATCAGTGTAAAATACACTTTGAAGGATTTGCATGTTGAAATTCTGTATCAGGGGTTTTCAAAGTTTAGTCTGTGACAGAAAATAGCTTTTCTTCCTTTTGTTTTGAGAAAGGACACTCCTGTATATTCCTGTGTCCCAAGGAGTGGGGCTCCAAGAGGAACACAATATCCAGAGTCACAGTAAGACCATGTGAGACATCAATGCATATAGAACTGGCTGCTCTGCTTCGCATAATGAATGCCTAGTTTTCTCCTTCAAAAAGTTTCCAGTGGTGTGTAGGATACAACTCACTTTCTGAGTTTAAACTGGCGTTTATAAAGCAGTGCAGAATGCAATAAGACAGGTTTAAACGTGGTACCCACCTTTGGCTTGGCTGCCTCCCTTGGTGTGGTGGTGTTTGCCTTCCCTGCTGATGGCGGGGCGCTCAGAAACACTATCTGCAACTCAGCCTAGAAGTTGCAGAGCCTCAGAAGCCCCTGGGCAGGACTGAGCCCCCAAATCTGGTTAACGTTGAACTGTAAAATACAGTGTTAACTCACCCCAAATGGTCTGTGATGTTGCTGCTCCCACATTGCTTTTCACTCAAGCATAATCAAGAAAACAATTACATAAATATCAGACAGTGCTGCCCTTTGCTAGCAGCAAGATAGATAGGTTAAATTCTGCTTGGCTTAACAGCTGTGCAGTCTCAGTGAATTCCCTGGGTTTGCATGGGAGTCTTACAGCACAGTGGATTGTTTGCCCTACGTGTCTTGTACTAAAACGAACTCATGCACAGTAAACTATGAAGCTTGAGACTTTTCAGTTGTGCTGCAGCCTATGATGCCTGCACAGTGTTTCAAAACTGCCGAGCTGAATATGACACCAGCCTCAGCTTTGCTGTACTGTGCTGGCTATTGTGTTTGCACTGTACCTAATTGCTGTATGATGACAGCAAATGAAACTAAATCCTGAATCACCTGTCTTTGCAGAGCTCACCACCATGTGTGTTTTAAACAGGCAGGAATCTTTCTGCATTTGTGATTTCGTTTTACTGGGATGAGGGAGGAAGGGTATATGCTGTGAAGCTCACTGCAGCTAAACCAGCTGCATGTACTGCAGAGCTACAGTAATAATTTACAATGAGATTAGTACAGCAATGTATGACCTAGAATACTTGCTAAATTCACAGTAACATGGGGGGACAGCTGAAGGAGCATCACAAATGAATTATCAACTTAATTTTCTGCACAATAGAAGTCACAAGCCGTTACTCACCTGTTTCGGTTGCATGGCGAGGCCGTGTCCTGCCCATGTCCGTGTGTGTCCTAATGAGGGGTATTGCAAATGGGGCCTGTCCAGGGACAGTGGCTATCATCAGATAATCTTGCTAGGGAGAATTAGATGAGCTGAACTTTCTGGCATTGAGTGCCCTAGGGAGTCATTATCTTATAACAAACCTACTATCTCTCCAACCATATTGCAAGACTGTGTCATGCAGATACGCGAACAGAGGGCTGTTTATCACTCGGGCAGCTGTCCAAAGTGCAACTATAAAAAGAGAAGACACTTGAAGATTTTTCCATTCATGAGGCAGCTTTTATAGATTTGCATTCATGGGCCTTTTCAGAGAAAACAATAACAATTTAAGATTTTTTTTTTTTCATTATTGCTGCCAGAAGCTGAAAGAAGGGAAAATAGCTCTCTATTTAATGTAGGATACAGGGGAAATGAGGGGGATTGAAATGATGAGAAGGTTTGAGGACATCAAGAAGCCTTAAAAGGCATCTACTGTTAATTTTTTTTCATGCAGAACTTTTTTACAGATAATGCCTGTGCGAGAGAGATGGTTTAAATATGCAGATGTCTCTTCTCAAAGGCATTCAAATTGTTATTTAATTCATCATCAGTAAGGATCGGCTCTTGTACTTTTTATACATATAAAAGTGGAAATGGAAGCTTTTTTTTTCTGCTTTCTCTTACTCTTTCTACTGCACAAAACAATAGATGTCAGTCCACAAAACCAAGTGGCTGTTCCCTGGCTTTTGTACTCTCCTACTACATTGTGTTATTCCATCTTTCCACATGCAGAAATCCTTCTTTCCTAGCATTAACTCTTGCATAGTTAACACCAAACAACCTTTTCCCCTCCTAAGCAGCCCTTTTGGGCTTGCAAATGGAAAGCTTGCTCTGCTTTACTGCCCTTCACACTGTTACCAACGGCTGACATTGCATGCCAAAAGGGAGGTCTGTGAGTCATAGGTAGTCCATGCCAGCACTGGCGCTAGAGCATTGCCTGGTTATGAGGAGAGACAATGAAAATGTCAAGCAGGGATTGAGCCTGGAGCTGCAGAGCTCTTCCTGTGCTGGAAACTGTAACTTTCCTACCCTCATCCTTCTGCCACCTATGGCAGCTGCCTGCTTTGCCTTTGTGTAAGTGGCTTCCAGCAGGCTGGATCAAGCCTGGGTGAACATCCTGTATGTTCAGTGTTTCCTGAGGCTAGATCTGGTACCTTTTGTAAGCCCAGGCATTATTATACATAAGCTACCAGCAGCCAAACCACAGGTAAAAGACAGTAAAGCTTAAGAGTCACTGTGGTGAGTCAAGAGATCATATAATCATAGAATAGTTTGGGTTGGAAGGTACCCTCAGATGACATCTCCCTGCAATGAGCAGGAACACCTTCAGCTAGATCAGGTTGCCCAGAACCGCATCCAGTCTGAATGTGACCTCTGTGGGGAACCTGCACCAATGTTTCACCACACTCGTAAAAAATTTTCTCTCCTCTAGCCTGAATCTCCCCTCTTTTAGTTTAAAACTACTACACCTCATCCTATCACAACAGACCCTACTAAAAAGTATTTCTTATAGCCCCCTTTCAAGTAATGAAAGGCTGCAATAAAGATGTGAATGGACATCCCAGTTACTCACAGCAGGGAGATGTTGCAATTTCAACCCTGAGGGGCCAGGATGCAATAACCCCACTCAGATACATTTCTCAAACTTCCTGTTATTTGTTCTTCCACCTACATCTCCCTTCCTGGGTGTTGTTGAGTGTAAGTTGTACTACACACCCCCTCAGACTGAGTTGGACAGTTTCAGAGGTAATGTCTAAACCATAGTCTGGTAGGTTGCTGAAAATACAGTGAACTCAGACCCAGTGTGTATTTCTTACTGAGGGGGTAAGAGGAGGGTTTTGTTTACAACAGCCCCTGTTCCCAATAGATGTATCTTATTTTTGACTTAAGTGGTAATGAATATGACTTGGTGCAAAGCAGTGCTCTGGTTTTGATAATTTCTGTGGTTGAAAGATCAGCTGAAGGATATAAAAGGCAGTGGCTTCAATGACTAGACAGAAATAATGGAAAGTTTTTGTCTTCAAGGAGTTTCCATTATGTGTCAATTTTTTATTTATTTTTTTTAAATAAATTGTAGAGGAAAGCCAAATCTAATGGACATGGGATCCCTGATGATCAAACCAGTGCAACGGGTGATGAAATACCCCTTGTTACTCTGTGAACTCTTGAATGCTACTCCTGCTTCTCACCCTGACCATAAGGTGCTACAAGATGCCCTTTCTGCTATGAGAAACATAAATGTGAACATTAATGAACTTAAAAGGAGGAAAGACTTAGGTAAGGAAAAGGAACATCAAGTTCTTCTGTCTTTGTAGGTTTGGCGATTATGAGAGAGGTTTTAGCTCCAGTCATATCACTACAACAGTTTTGGCTGCTGCTACCCAACTTGTGTAGTACGCTGGGTTTCAAGAATGTAACAGATGCCTTAATGTTACTTGTCCTTAGCCAGCTATGTTATCTGACTGGTAACTTCAGAAGCATGAAGATTCATGTTATATCCATGTTCATTGTCCAGAATACAATTGCAAACACTGGTAATAATTAAGATGCAGTAATAGCAATGTCTTACAGATTTGCCATGTCGAAGCCCTAACTTCACTCTTCCCAAGGCTAGCATTGATAACAGGGTTTTCATCATCTCAAGCATTTTCACACAAGATTACAGCAAGTGGCATCAAAGTGTCTGCTCTCAAATGGTTTCATATTTGTGTGCCTATCTCTGTGAAAAGGCCTGCGAATACAGATTATTAGTGTCATGAAATTCTCTATCTGCAGTGCTGAAGTATAAGAGGAATGATGATGATGAAACCCTTAAAGAAAAGTTTTCCCGACTGAATATCCACTCTATTAGCAAGAAATCCAAGAGGGTCACCAGCCACCTGAAAATACTGACGGGGGGAGAACCTCAGGTACTCATCCAACTGCAGATTTGCATTGACAGCTTCAGTTCTGCTTTTGCACTGGGTTTTTTTAAAAAACATGTTGGAAATGGCGTTTGTGGTGTTACATTTTTTTCTGCATCATTTATAAAGTCATTTTCTGATTGTCACAGAAGACAGTAAAGATCTTTGTGATTGAAATAGAAAATAATGTAATGTGTTCCCCACCTTTTCCTTTTTTATCTCAGAGTTTCTCAGACTTCTGATCTTCAGCAGAGAGGAAGTGACTGGTAGTTTTGTGAAGCTCAGCCTGAGATCAGTGCTTTGCAGGATAGACTGGCAATAGTTACTGTGGGTGCTGAGACTGCGTTCTGTCCCACCTTGCTCTACATTGTAACATTCAGGTTCTGAACCCACCAAAGAAGATGAGCAATACTTCTGATTAGGAAAGGCCCTGGGGTTTGCCTCTCTGTGTAAGGACATGGAACCATCAAAAAATACCAGAGGCAAAGAACTCTGTGATAAGCCTGATGGGTCCTGGTTGCCAAAAGTAAAATGCTCGTTCATAATTTCGAGGTTGTAATTCAAAACCTAGCAGGATAAACATTTTCAGGAAAGCTTAAATCTAATTCGCAAAGAAAATCAATTACAACTGACCTTGAAAATAATATCCAGTGCACTTCACTGCATGAGATGGATGATTATACAAGGTCACTTGCCTTTCTAGATGTGACTTTACAAGACGTGCTGGTTTTTCCTGGTTTGTTTTTTATCAGTTTTCTCCCTTTCTCTGGTGCAAACTACCCACATATATATTTTCTGTTCATTTATTTGTACAGAGGGAAATTTTTGTATTCAGAATGGGACACCAGCAAGGCTACAAAATCAGAGAAAAACAGGGAATTAAATTTTGTTAAGAGGAGCTGTGATTTTTCTTTCTTTCTTTTTCATGAGAAAATTCTGGTTTATGTTTTGGGTTTTGTTTTGTTTTTAATTAAGCTTAAAACATTTGAGAATAATTTGTGAATCAGGATATATTTGTTAAATATTCAGCCCTCTGTCCTGCTTAATTAGACTGAGAAAGTTCCCAATTCACATCTCTGAAACACGCTGTGACCCTTACAGCAAGACCACTGAAAACAAGACTTGAGATTTCTCAAATTCCCCAAATAAAGGTAGGCAGAAATAAACGTATTTTCAGTTTTTTTTTCAGCTAGCATAAAAAAAGTAGTACAAGCCCATTTCCAGCTGCTGAGATTTCGTTGCTCTAGAGGTAACAGCTCCATCTACAGTGTGCCGGGGGGAAATCTCCCCGTCACCCACACATAAGTACCCAGAGAAGCAATGCCATGACATAAAAATATCTGAAAAAATTTTCACCATTCTTTCCTCAAATTGAGTAATAACATACAGAAAACGAGGAGTTTTATTAGTAAATGTAAGTGTGCTTTTAATAAAGCAACTCCCTGCTTCCACAAGGATTAAAAATAAAACTCTCAGTCACGTTGCCCTGTGCCTTTGGCTTTTCTTGGATTAAAAGTGGAGCTTGGAAGAATTAGGGGCCGATCATTCTGTTTTCAAAGGGAGGAGTTCAGGGAGAGTTTGCGTTTTTTCCAGCAGTGCTCTGGATGTTTTTTTCATTAGCCAGACTCTTTTGGGCTGCCAAAATAACAGCGCAAATATCTATTTTAGGTGAAAGATCAAACTTTTAATAAGGAAGAAAAGTTGTTTCGAAGTTTAGAGAAGACTGTGAAACTGTGTGTGAAGAACATTGCACTCTTCTCACAACATCTACAGGTAGGTACAGGCCTTTTTGAAATCTGTGACCACCAGCCATGTCCATGACCAGTTTAACACTGGTTAGGCACCACCAAATTACAAGCAGGCATACCTACATCACAATGTTAAATAAATGAGCTGTGCTGCCGCTGCATTACTGAGCCTGTGGCAAAGACGTTTGGAAGCCCACAAGTCTCCATTCTTCCTCTTAGAAAAGCAGGCTCTATAGAGACCCATGGGTACAGTGCAGAAAAGAAGGTTCTGTCTGGTGGCACAGTTATGGCTTTCAATCACTGTGAAGCTGTCATATGGGTCATGCACATCTGCTGCAGTGGTGCACCAACTGCTTCTCATTAAAAATGGAAGAACTGAGGTGCAGCCACATGAATTAAAATGTCCTAAAATGCATGTTTCAGCTGTGAGGACTCCTTTTAGCCTGTTGCTAGGTTGTGTTGAGGACTAGCATTAGATCTACAGAATGTTCAAGCCCAGTAAAAGTCTTTGCTTTTATCCTCTCCAAGAATGTGGGTTGGCTTGTAATTTAGCAACACTCCCCCTCTCATGGACAACTTACCAACTCTGTAGATGGCATGAGGCCCTTCAAAGTGTAAGTGTGCCCAAACTGGATATGCAGATTGCTTGAGAGGTAGGTAAGATCAACAGCCAGCTGCCAGAGCTTATAGCAAATGCATGTTGTTTTGCAACTGTTCAGCAAACAGTGAAAGGCCAGTGAGGTTAGCCAACAAAGGTTGTTGCCTTGAACGGTGTTAACAGTTCCTTATTCAAACAGATGTGTACTTCATTAAGATTAAAATTCAGAGTAAGTGAAATAAATACACCACTGTAGTCCTACTTAGTCCCGCAAAAGAGGCCTTTGAGGGTGCATGGTCTTGACCTGGCTCCTTTCTGAGTAGTACCTAAATTCCAGCAGGACATTTATGAGGTTGGGGCATATTTTTTTCAGTTGAATATTAACTACTTGATTCTTAAATAGTTTACATGAAAACAGACAAAACACAGGAAAATGTTATCACAGTAAACTATTCCACAGTGTCTGAACACTGCACAGCAGCTGCATGGGTGCCAGAGATGGAAGATATTTCTGATTCCATCAGTATTATTGCAGCATTTGCATGAGTGAATGCAGTATATTAAAACAGATTGTAATAGTTTCATCTTCCTACTACCTTCTTGATTAGGATTCTATACATCAGGCTGCACAGAATATAACTGGTCTGGAGGAAATCTTGCAAGACAAAGATGATGAAGTCAACAACTGTTTGAAAACAAGGAACAACAGAACAAATCTCTGTGAAGACCTGGTAAGTTTATGCAATGTCCAGCATTACCCAGCTATCTGTATGTGTGAGAAAACAGGTGGTCTATGCAAGGGAGACTAGGACAGAAAAGAGCAAAAAACCTTAGGAATCCTTTGGAAAAGATGAGTGAGTTTTTTGGCTCAGTTTCTGTAGGAAACAAGATAAAATTCAGTGCACTGGGTTTTCCTTTGAAGAAAACTTATCAAGCTAAATTTCTGAGTTTAAATGAAAATCTTTACGCTAAATTTGCATGTTTCACTTGAGCTTCAGACAAGAGCAGCAGATCTTTAATTTGCTACTTTTGTTATCAACATTTGTAGTTTTAGATTGACTTTTGACTTTTGTGGTCTTTGTTGTGCTCATGAACATGCTCCTGAAATCAGAGATCTGTGCAAATCTCAGCTTTATTACATTTTTAAGTAAGTTACTATCCTTCATGTAGGAAAACCATGGAAATTCTGAATATAGCCTATAAGAATTACATAGCAATTAAAAAAAAAAAAAAGTAATAGTTTTTCCAATAGTCATTGCTTTCAAGGTCCAAATGAACTCTAATGCCTGGCTCTACTAAGATAGAATCATAGAATAGTTAGGGCTGGAAAGAACCTTAAGATCATCAAGTTCCAACACCCCTGCCATGGACAGGGACACCTCCCACTAAACCATGTCACCCAAGGCTCTGTCCAACCTGGTCTTGAACACCGCCAGGGATGGAGCATTCACGACTTCCCTGGGCAACCCATTCCAGTGCCTCACCACCCTTACAGGAAAGAACTTCTTCCTTATATCCAATCTAAACTTCCCCTGTTTAAGTTTTAACCCGTTACCCCTTGTCCTATCACTACAGTCCCTAATAAAGAGTCCCTCCCCAGCACCCTTATAAGCCCCCTTCAGATACTGGAAGGCTGCTATGAGGTCTCCACGCAGCCTTCTCTTCTCCAGGCTGAACAGCCCCAACTTCCTCAGCCTGTCTTCATACGGGAGCTGCTCCAGTCCCCTGATCATCCTCGTGGCCCTTCTCTGGACTTGTTCCAACAGTTCCATGTCCTTTTTATGTTGAGGACACCAGAACTGCACACAATACTCCAGGTGAGGTCTCACAAGAGTAGAGAGCAGAGTAGAGGGGCAGGATCACCTCCTTCGACCTGCTGGTCATGCTCCTTTTGATGCAGCCCAGGATATGGTTGGCTTTCTGGGCTGTGAGCGCACACTGAAGACGGCTCATGTTCAATTTCTCATCAACCAACACCCCCAAGTCCTTCTCTGCAGGGCTGCTCTGAATCTCTTCTCTGCCCAACCTGTAGCTGTGCCTGGGGCTGCTCCGACCCAGGTGTAGGACCTTGCACTTGGCATGGTTAAACTTCATGAGGTTGGCATCAGCCCACCTCACAAGCGTGTCGAGGTCCCTCTGGATGGCATTCCTTCCCTCCAGCGTATCAACCGAACCACACAGCTTGGTGACATTGGCAAACTTGCTGAGGGCGCACTCAATCCCACTGTCCTTGTCAGCCTTCCAGGAGAATCTGCTCCAAGATTTTGCCAGGCACAGAGTTGAGACTGACTGCTCTGTAATTCCCCGGGTCATCCATTTTCCCCTTCTTGAAAATGGGGGTTATATTTCCCTTTTTTCAGTTGTGGGGAACTACACCTGACTGCCATGAATTTTCAAATATGATGCCCATTGCTTAGCAGCTTCATTCGCCAGCTCGTTCAGGACCTGCAGATGGATTTCATTAGGTCCCATGGACTTGTGCACATTCAGGTTCTTAAGATGGTCTCGAATCAGATCCTCTCCTACAGTGGGCCCAAGGTCTTCATTCTCACAGTCCCTGAGTCTGCCTTCCAGGACTCGTGTGATGTGGTCAGTGAAGACTGAGGCAAAGAAATCATTAAGAACCTCAGCCTTCTCCAAATCCTGTGTAGCCAGTTCTCTCAATAGCTTTCAGAGAGGGCCCACATTGTCCCTATTCTGTCTTTTATTTGCTATGTACCCGTAGAATCCCTTCCTGTTATCTTTCACATCCCTAGACAAGTTTAATTCTAACTGGGCCTTAGCTTTCCTAACCTGGTCCCTAGCTTCCCGGACAACATCCCTGTACTCTTCCCAGGCCTCCTGTCCTTGCTTCTACTTTTTATAAGCCTCTTTTTTTCATTTGAATTTTCCTCAGGAGCTCCTTATCCATCCAAGGAGGTCTCCTGGCCCTCCTGCTGCACTTCCTTCTACTCGGGACGCAACCCTCCTGAGCTTGTAGCAGGTGATCCTTGAATATCAACCAACAGTCTTGGGTCCCTCTGCCCTCTAGGGCTGTATCCCATGGAACCTTTCTAAGCAGGTTCCTGAAGAGGCCAAAGTCTGCTCTTTTGAAGTCCAGGGCAGTGAGCTTGCTGCACGCTCCTCTCACTGTCCTGAGGATCTCAAATTCGAGCATCTCATGATCACTGCATACAAGGCTGCCCTGGAGAGTCACATTTCCAATCAGCCCTTCCCTGTTGGTGAGCACGAGGTCAAGCATGGCACCTCTCCTTGTCGGCTCCTCTATTACTTGCAGAAGGAAGTTGTCTTCCACACAATCGAGGAACCTCCTGGATTGCCTGTGCTGGGCCGTACCGTCCCTCCAACAGATATCAGGGTGGCTGAAGTCCCCTAAAATGTCTCTTCAATATGGGACAGCTGCTCAAGCTGGAAAAATTCAGAGATGAAGGTTTCCTTACCCTTTCCTAGTTCTTTTCAGAGTAAAAAGTAGCCATCCAGTCCTTTCCAAAATACTGGAAACAGAGTCTGCCAAGAAACTGAAGGATCTTTGACAGGCCACATCCTCCCAGATAATGACAGGGAAGTAAGATGTATTTCCTTTCCTTTGAAGTTTTCACATTTGAAAAGAATCTCAAAAAATAATCACAACAATCAGAAAGATATTTTCAATGTCTTTACAATGAATGAGTTCATAAAGTGCAGAATAATACCCCTCTATCATTGCAGTGGTGAGTGAGTCCAGTATGGACGATGCCCCCATATTCAGAAACATCAAAGAAAAGCAGAGGCAATTCCATATGCTATTAACCATGTTAATTTCTACTTGTTATCTATTTATTTCTGTGTCTTAGGTTTACAAGATCACAAAGATTCTCTATCCCATGTATAAGGGTTTTTTTAAAAGAAGTTTTGTCCTGACATTGCGCAATGAGTAGATGTTCTCACTGAATAACCCAGTGTTCTTCACATGTTCTCCTGAAAGGCTATTATCAATGGAGATCTCAGCAGTGAGCTTAGGTTATTATTCTTTTTTCCCTTTGTGCATTTGTCAATAATGAATACCTTCCTCTCCCATTATATTTTAGTGAAAAGTTTAGGACAGAAATCCACAATAGCTTCTTCTCTTCCAGAAATCAGCAGTGTGGAAAAACAGTTTTCTTAATGCATCAATCAAAAATTTGCTAAACACAGTCCAGTTTTTCAGGTGGAAATAAAGGGACTATCTCTACAGTATGCATCATCTTGGCCTTGGGAGAGCAATTGTGGTGCCAAAATGGATCTGTCCTCTGTGCTGTGTTATGGAGGGTAGAGGGACAGATGCTCTTTTATGCTCACATTCAACCCAACAGCTTAATTCACATAGAATGTGGAAGAGCTTTAATATGATGATGAGTTTTACTCACTACAAGCCTGTGCTGTATTTGAACAAGTGACTTACAAAAATAAATTTTATTTCATGCAATATTAATCCCTTGAGACAATTAGAGACTAATGGAAAAGTCTGAGACTTCTTTTTTTTTTACCAGGTGTCTAATTTTGTTGATTACCAGAGATAAAACCAACAAGCATAACATAATTTAATCAAATCAACTGATTGTTTGTGTTTGCTTAAACAGGAATTGAGTTACAGCTGTCTCCAGGAAAAAAAAAAAAAGGGGGAAAAATAAAAAGCTGCTACATGACTGCCATTTAACAAGACTCCATTGCCTCTAGACTGTATACTGGCATGGGCCTTCCAGTTAGGGAAATCCCACTTTTATCTCACCACTTCACTTATACTTGCCCAGTTTTTCCTCAGTGGGAACACAATGAGGGCCACACCACAGGCTGCATACTCCAAGGGACCACTACTATTACTAGACATTTTAAGCTACGAAACTGTTACCTCTCCTTTGCAGTGTTATAAAGAAGATTCCAAGTCATGATAGATGATGCTTGAAGCTGCCTCTAACAGCAATGCTTTGTGAAGAGTAATTAACAGGTTGCTTGATAGGCTACCATCAGGCTTAACCTTTACTGGGCTTGAAGGAGTGTATAAATGAAGTAATAAGTAGGTGTGTTTTTTTACTTTTCCAGATGGCTCAGCTGGACAAGCTTGTTTTGACTCCTCTCTCAACACTGCGAGCCTTGTTTTCAGGCCCACAGAAGCTCATCCAAAAGCGCTATGACAAGTTGTTGGACTATAACAGCTACCTTCAGAGGTCAACAGGAGAAGAGCTGGACCTGGCAAAGAAAGACTATGAGGCTCTAAATGCACAGCTAGTGGAAGAACTTCAGGTATTTAACAGAGCAGCCAAAAAAATTCTGCTGAACTGCCTGCATTGCTTCATCACCCTCCTCAGGAATATTATGTCTGCAGCACTTCAATCAAATTCTGCTGTGGTGGTGCCTGTTCCAGTAAGTACCTTAGAAACAGGTGTAGCTCTGACTTCGTCTCTTTTCTTTCTGTATGATTTAGCTAGAGTTATTAAGGACACATGCCTGCAAACTACACTGATTTTGTTTGTTCTGCTGAATATAGGTTTGTTTTTTTTCCCCTTGCAAGCTCAGTAGAGGTTAAGTTCTGAGCTTGTCAGGCCTGGACTTTTGAATGAGAATGATCCAAATGCAGCTGTTGCAGCTGTTACAGCGATAGTATTGACAAGAACATTACAGTAAGGCAAAAACGGGGGCAGAGGCTAGCAGTTTAGTCATTGATTCTTAGCACCTACCCTGAGTAGCCCAGAAAACACAGGAAGAGAAATCCTAAGAAAGTACCTGCACACTCCTGGTGCTGCTAGACCTTCAGAGTCACAGATGACTGCAAAAGCCAAAAAGTTTGCAGATCTGATTAAATAATTTCTATGAAAAGCAAGTTGCTTTTAAACCCAATATACTGCAGAAATCTCTAGGCAGTAAGGAATAGCTTTGTCTATGCTGACATTTTTAAAAAGTTCAAATCATTTCACTTAGTAGCCAAAGGTATTAAAGATGCCTGTGTGAGCTACACAGAAGGGCAGTAGTTGTTTCCAGCCCACACTACTCTTTCTGGGCATTCTCAGAGAATCATAGAATCAACTAAGTTGGAAAAGATCTTTAAGATCATCATGATCATTTCCTGAAGAATAACATTGAGAAATTATTGTTAATTTCTGTGAAAGTCATACAGTCAGTTTTGTTGTACTTTTGCCTAAAAGACTTGAACCCCTGGAGAAATGCAACTGCAACAATGCCTTCTGCACATCCAGATCCACTCACCTGAACCAGGGCAAGACTCTATATAGGAAACACATTGTAGTGAGGCAATTCTGGAGTATTCCTTTCCATCAGCCTTGAACAGCACATTACAGCCAGGAGCAGCTGAAAAATTAAGCAAGCAAGGTCATGATCAAAACAGAGCTGCAGTGTTTAATGGGAAAATGAAAGTTTTTCCTGCATGAAGAAATTGCATCCCTGTAATTTGACTATTTAATGTTTTGAAAGCTGTTGTATTGAGCATTGTTTTCTATGAGGCTCTGCCTACAAAATTACCTTATTTTTCTTTTTTTCTGTTTACATCAGCAAATACATTTATGGTTAGCACAGGCCAAAAGCACTTACACAGTGCCACAGACAGAGCTTCAGCTTTCCACACAATTTTTAACCTGGTGACAGCTTCCAGTTGCACAAACACACAGCTGTGATGTAAGCTACTCCAAGCCTTACAGCATATTGGCCACTCCTGAGAGCTGCTGAGATGCACATTTGCATCTGAAAGCAGGTGGCTCGGTAGCATAAGAGCAAGGCTGTTCATTTTCATCGCTGTTTAGATTATTTTTTTAATGATTTAACTTAAATTAGTATGTCTTTTAAATCCAATAATGACTTTTTTTATTTTCCATCTTGGACCTAGCATGCCATAGTCTCTGCAGAAAATAGAAGTAACTTGTCAGATATCCTGGCTCCTAGGGTTCAGCCCCTTAAACCAGATCTGCTCTCTCAAATCTCCTTACCATTTTGTTTGTGAGATCTAACCCACCTTTGTGTTTGCAGCTGTCTTCCACAAGCATCTGTGAAGTGCAGAATCAATTGATGGAAGAGGTTCACAAGCTGAATTTTGTAAAAGAAAACAGCAGTGCCACTTTTATTGAGAGAAAATTGAGCTTGGAAAAAAAGAAAGTTGTCCCTTCTCCAGTGAGTACCATACATCCAAACTGTGCATGATGCATCCCCTTTTGGTCACTTTTGAAACAAATCCATCTTTATGCCACCTAGAGGTCTGGGCTTGATGATTTTACTGGGACTCTGAATCAGCTTGTTGCAATGAAGCTGTTCCATTGACCAGTAACTTCTGAAGATCTTTCACTCTGTTTTCATGTTACTACCTTGAAAACCCACTTGAAATTATCTCCGATTACCCTTAGGTCTTCAAGCACATGTTAAATCTAACGTTCTATGTGTAAACTTTGATTATTTCTTTTATTAAATACTCTTACAGTGCATCTTAGTCTTCTAATTCAGAACATTTTTTTCCTCATCCTCAGCTCTGGCTATGTGTAGTGGTGTTTACACACATATGCACCCACATACACCCCCATAGCAGAAGGTTCAGAAATTCAGTAGGAAATCTGTGTCCCCCTGGTTCCCAATCTTACCAGACACTTCCAGAGCTTTTAGGAGTCTAGTTTGCAGTAAAATAAAAACTCAAGTGCAGTTCAAGTTTTTGGGAGGAGCTGAGGAAGCTGTAGAATTCCTTTTATCATCAGCAAGGCACAGGTGCTTTTGCTCCTATGGTGCATTAAGTTCACATTAATGTGCAGCACTTCCTTCCCTACCCTCTAACCAAAACCTGAGTGAATATGGTACCAGCAGTTAATAGCACCTTGCCCTTATTTAGCGAGGTAATTTCACACAAAAAGCAGACTGTTTGAGTACTACTGATTTTATTGTCTCATGCCTTACCATGCAAGTTGTTATGTGACCTTAGCACACCTCAGCTGATTTTTGCATTATGCTTTTTTTGGTGATATTACATAGATATTTGATAGGTATGTTTTATATATATTACAAGATCATTGCTACAGGAAAACAACGAAGCAAGTGACACTTCACATACAGAGCACCAGCTCTTTGAGAGCGCAGGGCAGACTAAGAGGTCTTTAATTAGTGCAATTCCTATGTTTCTTTAAAATCTGCCCCTTATTGCTCACCTATTAATATAGCAGTTCCACAGGTCATTGCTACATATGCAAAGGAGACTTGGCTACCTATAGCTGTGTAAGTAACTCGATTTGTATTTAAAAATGTAGGGTCAGTCGCTGCATGCAACATACACTGGGTTTTATGCACCTGTATTGCGCTAGAAATGGCCTCAGCATTGTTTCCAGTGAATAACTTTCTTTGATTTTAAGCTCGAATCCCCACGTCAAACAGAAGACCACAGGTCCAAGCTGCTGTCTACATACAGCACAGAAGTGCTATACCAAGCTAAGCGCAAGTGCAATGCCACACAGGAATTTGATATTGATTTACATGAAGGAGAACTGGTGGCTGTTGTGGAGCAAAAGGACCCCTTCGGAAGTATGAGCAGATGGCTTGTTGACACAGGAAGTAAGTTCTTTGCACAAACATCCCAATAACAGCTTCCCTTTGGGATATTGATTTGTTTTCATTCTGGCCCCATCTGTTTGCCTCTGTCATACTGACAGCTGCATAAATGGTTGGTTTTGAAATGCTTTTAGCAGTGTCTTGCTGTTCGCTTATTTTCTCTCTTTTCATTCTGGTATCTAGTTCTTAAAGGGTATGTGTATTCCTCCTTCCTGAGGCCTTACAATCCAGCCAAAATGCAGAAGGACATGGCAGAAACCAGCTTTGATGGTGATGATTTTGATAATATCAGCCTCTTTGTCTCTTCACGGCCCTCTACTGACAGCAGCACAAGAAGTCCAGGGCACAAGAAGAGTGACAGCACCTCATCTCTTCAATTCTGCAAAAATCCCACAATTAATGGCACAGGGACCGATGCTTTTCAGGATACGGATGATCATGTATGTATGGCACACACTGTGCCTGTCTTCTTGTTCCTATTTCAAATCTAGAATTATAATTTAAATGTTTTCCTTTACACCAGAAAAACTGGCAGTAATCTGTTAGTATGACATGGGAATTAATTATCCTCTGTTCTTTGCCTTTCTTAAATAGCTACAGGGTAGGAAAAGATAATCAGTTAAACTGTGAATCGCAGTCCTTGCTTACAGAATACACACCCCACCTCATGTCCAACAGGTCAAGGTTCTCCTATGGAGCAGGTACCTGCAAAACAGCTCAGCTGGGGGGATTTTTTTCACTTACTATTGATAAGGAAGCTGTGGAAATGCTGATCAGCAAGGCACAGAAGTTATAGACGGGTGCCACATTTGAGTACAGGAGCTTTAGGAAAGGCGGTTCGCCCTGACAAAACCTTGGTGGAAATTTCTCCATCCAGTTCCAAGGCTGCTTGGTGTGACAGAAATAGACACCTGGTGTGAGCTGACAAGCTTACTAGTGTAGTATTGTGACGAGGTCTCAGAGCTTGATTTGTTCCTCCCCATGCAGAATTCCCCAGATCCTTCAATTTTACTTTTGATTTTGGCCCTGTTCATTGTAGCGTGTCTAGCAACTGCAGACCACATAGTTCCGTACTGGTTTGTATACATTATTACGCATTTTCTGCATACAGAATTCATACTAATACACAATGACAAAGTAAGATGTGGCTACATTTCTGAATTCAGATATTGTTTTTTGTGGATTTTGTTTTTCAGACCTTCTATGCTGTTTATGCATTTCAAGCAAGAAATGATCAGGAACTCAGTCTTCAAGAGTACCAGAAGGTTAGGATACTTCAGTTTTCTGACCTGAGTGGCAATAAAGAATGGTGGCTAGCAGAAGCAAAAGGTCAAAAAGGGTATGTACCATCCAATTATCTTGGGAAGATGACATATGCTTAGGAACAGAAAGGCCCATTGAGCCAGTTTCCCTGAAGTAGACAGAATAATCATCTATCATGGTTTGCAGCAAGCAAGACAAACTCACAAATGATTGACAGAAGCCATAGTATCTGGTACAGCACACAGGTGATATTGAGAACCTCCATCCTCTAAAAGCCATCACCTTGTCAAGACCTGAGGGAGGAAACACTTCACAGGAAGACTGATTCTGATTAACATCCCAAAGAAGTTGCTTTTCTATTACCCCATAATTTTCTCTTTTGTCAAAGCATCCTACATCAAGAGTAAACCTGCAAGTACAAATTACAGGTAAAATTATGTTTTTCTTCCATGATATTTAGCAAATAATAGTCAAGATGAAGAGAATTAACCTTGGAAAAGGACAAATTCAGACTTCAGGGATGCTGTAGTTCTGCCTTAATTGTTCCTGAACCACTATATCAATGAACGCAGACACTTCTTAGATTTCATGCTTTTTGATTGTCTGTTTTTATCCTCAGCCACTTTTGTAATGAACTTTTTTCTCAGTGGAAATTATTGGAGTTGGAAAAGAAAATGGGTTTTATTTTTGTATGAAACATTTCAACTTAAAATGTATGAAATGCGGTGTACCAGTGGCTGGTCCCAGGGCAGAAAGTATATTTAGTTAAATATGGGAATGGGGGCAGGGAAAGAGAGGGCACAAGAAACAGGTACTGTGAAACAAAATTTATAATTTTTAAAAGAATTACACAACTACTTCATATGGTAGGAAGCAGTTTCAACAATATGGAAGTGCCTCAGGTTTGAAATTCCACGTATGTCTCTACACTAAGTGCTTTATAGCAAGTAGTGAATTGAAACGTGTTATCGGACTTGGGAAATTTATTAAGATAAAAAAAGTAAAGTCAAGCAGTGCCTTTCAATGAATATATACTGCCTATCTGATTCCTTAGGTCAGCTACAGGGATCATAATGTCTAGTAAATAAGCTAAGACTTAAGATTCATCGAAAGTTCTCTGCCAGAAAAATAAGGAAATCATTCTTCCCAAAGTGTCTGACATTAGATTGAACAGTGAAGAATGTGTCCATGAGCTGATTCACTGTTTACAGAATTCAGAATCAAAAGCCCTGTATTTTGCTAAAGTATCTTCAAAATGGTCAAGGCTGTTTTAACAAATTAATATAGTTCACATTGCATCCTCAATGAGCATAGAAAACAAAAAATCCCAAGGAAGAATCTGAATGTCAAGTTCATTAGGTTCACCAACTGGGTCAGGCTGGTGCTCTACACTTGAATTAGATTGAATAGTGGTATAACAACAATTAGTCATAGAACAACATCTCAGTGTTGTTACCATCAATAACTGAGTGTTCATCACAGTTTATTTCAGTACAGCAGCGCCTAGGTCCTCTTGTGATAAGTGAGGACCTTCTTGTGCTAAGCATTGCAAAAAGGAAACAAAAAAAGTGACTATGCCTGCAGCAGACAGTGTGATTGAAGGTAAACTCCTGTCAGGTATTTTCTGTACTGCTGCATAATTGCTTATTACTGACTTCTAAAATTAAGGAGGAAGAGGGGTGTGTGTTTGGGGATCAAGGGTGTTGTTCTAAATTGTTCTAAAACCTTTGTGTAAATTTCTACTTCCTGTAGTTGAAGTGTGGGGCATGAGGATGAAACGATTCAAAAACTTTACTTAGACATGATGGGAAATAACGTGTCAGCAAAGAAAGAATGACAAAAGCTAGAGCAGTCAATGCAAATAATAGCTTTTGTTACATTAATGAACCCAGTTTCATTTTATTTAGTGCCCCAAATTTTCATACTATTTTCCAAAGAATGTAAAGAAAGTTCTCAGCCTTGCTCAGAAGGTGAGTGCAGTGGATCACAGAGATGAAAACCTGAAATTTGTGCTGGATTAAATCATATGATAGAGAAACCTTTTGCGTTCTCTGAGATGGACATCCAGAAACTGGTTTGTGAAACTCTGAACTATTGCCATCCAATGAGCAGTGACAATAGGTAACACATTGTTTTGCCTAATTGTACATCTCTTAATGCACTTAAATCTTGCTATTTCCATAGCAAACAAAAAGGTTCTAATTCCTCTTATTAATGGTGTATCTTTTTCTTAAGGAGAGCTTTTCCTTTATTTAGATGAAGAAAATAAAACATTGGAAAGGGAGCATCAGGTTGGAAGAGTGAACTGAAAGACTCTCTCCTCCCAAGCTTGCACTATTTTGGCTTTTGTATTTTAAGATTACAGGGAAGATGCACACAAGAAACTTCAGTATGTCTTACAATTTAGAATATTTTATTTGGAGATGATCTATACTTTGCAATAGTTGAAACAGTTTTAGAAATGACTGAATTGTACTTAATAGGCTTAATGCCATCATGTAAGCACAATGATGATGTTTTGTATTTCATACTGTGAAATTAATTAAGGGTAAGAATTGAAAAAAAAGATTCATGAAGCCCTAAGCTCTGAGAACTCTGTTTGAGTCATAGGGAGAGCTCTGATTTTGAGTGCTAAGTATATTCCTTATGAAAAATCAGGCTCTGTGAAGGTGTCTCAAAGCATACTCAAATGCTGCTCTCCAAAAGGTATCCTGAAGTATGAAGGAATGAAGGATTAAATAAACTGGAGCTGGCCACCTAAATTTCATTGAACTTTCGTGGGACTTGGGAACTCCCAGTAGGCCATATGAAACCCCAGTGTATGGTTAGGACCCATAATGATTTTTATATTGTGGTATAATTAATATGACTTTATTATAGCCTCAAAAGTTGGGATCCAGAAAAAGTACTTTATTGCATTCCCAGGTGGATTGATTTACTTCATTTCAGAAATTCAAAGCTTTAGCTGTTATTGTTTGATACTACAGATATGTTGCAAACTTTTATTTTTGTTTAAAACAGACGAATGCAAACATCAGTTGCAAAAAAGTAAGAGATGCTCTTTGAATCTAAAGCCTCCCTGTATTAAAGAGATTTGCAGAAATTCATGTTAGACTTGCTCAGACACATTTTTATTAAGTTACTGCTTCAAATATAAGAAATGAAGCTATGTTACAGGTTCCAGAAATTCCTAAGAATATGCAGTGGTTTTGCAGCTGTTTCTTTAATGTAGTGAATGTTACAGTATTCCACAAGTTTTCTGATTGTGATTAATGACAAATCTAATTTATTTTGATTGAAGCAGGGACAGTCTGCAGTGTAATGGACCAATCTTGCATTTATTCAAATGTGTGTTTTACTTATTGGAATTGTTGTGACAAGAAGAATGTACAAGTACTTCCAAGATCGGGTCCACTCAAACTGAAGTGCTTCTCCATTCAGGGAATATTTTTAAGTGTTGCCATTGATAACCTAGAATCCAGAAAATGTCCAAGCTGATGAGCAGCAGTGTCTCTGGCTCTGACCTCTGCCACCTGCGTGCTTCACTATCTTCCCTCTGCTTGGATGGTGCTTGTGAACTTTAAGTAAGGATTCACTTTTTCAAAGCAAAAACAGATTGAAGAATTATTCCTCGATTTTAGGAAGCTTCGCTGAGAAATTATGTCTTTCAGACACTGAAGCACACTTTTGCTGTCATTTTAAGATAGCTTGTAAAAATGTGAATAAATGAAGCAGACCTAACACCAGCAATAGGAAACACAGCCATCATAATTCTTGTGTCTGTAGATCTACTACTGATAATTCCTCTGGCAATATTGTTTGTCCAAAAATAGTGGGGGAAAAAAAATATTCTTTTATTATAATAATAAAAATCTATTTTTATAAAGTTGTCTTCCTTTTTTTTTTTTCTAAACAAGACCTTTTCCAGAAGCAAATTGCTTTATATGCTATCCAAGATCTGCCTTCTCTTGTAAACTATAAAAAGCATCACTGCAAAATTAGCAGAGGAAATAGACAGTTTCCTCAGGTAAAAAGTTGCATTCTAGTACACATCCCAGTTTATCTATCAGTTCATTAGAACTTGTCAAACACTATCAAAATACTGAGCAAGTTTCAAAATATGCTTCAAGTTTCCAAATGTCAGTTTAGGTCTGTTCTGTTCTTTTCTAGCTGCTCCTGAGGTCGTGACCATTATTTACTGTGTGTCCAGCCAGAGATCTTGATGAGTTGTAACAGATAAAAGCTGGTGTTACTAAAATAGCACAAAGTTAGATCTTTCCTCTTAGATTCAGGCATCACCAGCATCCCGTAGTCCAACCAGAAGCAGGACTCACAGAACCAGAGTGAACTATCATTTCACACTACTAAGTGTGTTGGAATTTGAGCATCAATGAAAAAACATATTTAAGTGGAAGTTTAAGTATTACCATACTAATTTATAAAATGGATAAGGAAACTCACATAGCTATTTTTATAGTAAATCACAGAGCAATTTGATTTGGGGATAGGAAAATCGCAGGACTATTTTCCAGTTTTTTTTGCTAAATACAAGGTATGCTCCTCAAAATGCAGAAGGGCTTTCCTTCTTTCTGCCCTACAATAGATTCCTCAATCTGATGTGCGAATTCAAACGATCCTGTAGAACAGACTTCTTTCCTGAAAATATAGTTGTTAATTCCATCCTAACTATAACTTCAAAGCAAAAAAGCAACTGTTCTCTTCAATCTACTCTGGTTTTCAGTGGTGCCCATCTTACATATTCAAGCTAAACACTTGATTTAAAAGACCAGGTCTGTGATACAAATCCTTCATGATACAATACTTCAAAGAACCACAATCCTAACTGACATTTTTATACCAACAGAAGGAGACTTCATATTTCATTTACAAAGCTGTGAAAGTTAACGGTGGAAGAGTTTTTTGCTGAGAAAATTGCAGCTCTATTGCAGATTTTGCTAATACAGTCATATCAGCAAGACCAGCTAGACTTGGCCTTATTAAAGGGACAAGACAGACACACATAAAAGTTATAGCATAAAGTTATTTTATTCTAAGTGAATAAGAGATAACTTACAGTGTTATAGATGTAGAAATGTCAGAATACACTTGAATGAGGTCTCAGCACTAGCTGCCACAACTTGCAAAACAAAGATCAATTTTTTCTGCCCTTGTTCACTTCATGCATGTACCTAAAGTAACCTGCACAGTTCATATTAAGCCCCTGCACTCCTACAAGTGAAACTATATGCAGAGGCAAGAAAGACACAGATAGTACCCTCACCCGTCCTGTGGGAGCACGTTTTACTGCTGGAGTGTACACTTTACATAGGAGCACTCTAGCCATTAAAAAATCTACTCTCACACTCTTGATTCATAGTGCAGGCAACATTCTTCTGATTAACATTTAGGAAGAAAATATGTGTTCTGTTTGCTAATGAAACTGCTTCAGTGTCTTTTCCTACTATACCACCATTAAAAACCTTTTCTGCTAGAGAGGAAGAAGGATGGGCTGATCGAAAAGCAATAGAAGTTCTGGATTCCTCCTCTTCCTGCTGTTATTTTTAAATCACCCTGGAAGCTGCAGTCACTACAAAGACAAAGCCTTTCTTTTTTTCCTCCACAGGAAATAATAGTTGAAAAAGCATACAAAGTCCCCAGGTAGATAAAGCAATCCTGAATAAATGAAAATATTCCTTTGGATGTTTAAAGAACCTTAGCCTAAATCTTAATTGTGGAGAAGGGAAAAGAGGTATGGAAAATAGCTGCATGTACCAGCTTTATACGTACTTAAAATACAGGATGGCTAAGATGCAGCTTTTACCTGCCTACAAATATCTGTATGGGTTGACCTTGGCTGGATGCCCGGTGCCTACCAAAGCCACCCTACCGCTCCCCTTCCTCAGCTGGACAGGGAGGGGAGAAAATAAGAGGGAAAGCTTGTGGGTCAAGATAAGGACAGGGAGAGATCACTCACCAGTTACCATCATGAGCAAAACAGACTTGGCTTGGGGAAATTAATTTATTACCAAACAAATCAGAACAGGATAATGAGAAATAAATCCAAATCTTAAAAATACCTTCCCCCCACCCCTCTCTTCTTCCTAGGCTCCACTTCACTCCTGAACAGGGAATGGGTGTTGTGGTCAGTTAATCACATGTTGTCCCTGCCGCTCCTTCCTCCTCAGGGGAGGACTCTTCATACTCTCTCCCTGCTCCAGTGTGGGGTCCCTCCCACAGGAGACATCCTCCACCAACTTCTCCTACATGGGTCCTTCCCATGGACTGCAGTTCTTCATGAACTGTCCCATTGTGGGTCCCTTCCATGGGGTGCAGTCCTTCAGGAAGAACCTGCTCCAGTGCAGGT